GTGTAGAAACAGACAAGCTAAGAGTCTTTTTGTTCCTCAATCAAGACCTCTAGACAAATTCGGGAACGGTCAGGAGATACGAGAGGAGAGAAGCCAAAACGAATACGGAAAATCCATTCACTCACCAGTCTGAATAAACTGCAATTGGCATCTTGAATGAAACAATGCAACAGATCACCCGGTGTGGGGAAGACAATCTTCTCGGGGATCGGAGATGAGTTTACGGTCAGTTCCTGGAAAATGCAATGTAATGAACTTTGATTACTGACAACGAATGAGGATAACAATGAGAAACCGAATCCAACACACTGTATTGTTTCTAGGTAGAAATGTTATTTTTACTTAAAATGTTCTACTTCTCCAGGGTGTTCAAATTTATTTTAACGATTTAAATCCTCCTTGCGCCATTTTGGTCATCTTCGTCAGCCTCAATCGCTGGCCACTGATTGATCGATTCTGCAAATTTTATCATTTCTTGAACCAATTCCCAAAGTTCGAAGACCAGAACAGTATTTCAGCAGATGAGTTGCCGCCGTCAATCCGACTTGCTTCTTGTGTATCAAGTACACACATTCGTTGCTTGCCCCGTATGTTCTCCCATTCGCAGTCGGGAGAAGGCCGCCACTAATTGTGGTGTACGTTATGTGTTGTGATTGTGCTTTTGGGGCTAGACGACTTCTGTGGCCAGTGAGGTGGTACATGCTCCGTAGTGTTCAGACCTAATTCGTATCTGTATCTGTACTCCTGCTCTGACGTACCGCGCGTGTCGTCTGCGAGCACCCAATTTATGCTCGTCCATCTGCACCGTGAGTGCTACTTGTGTTGGGTCAACTTGCGCTGGATGCCTTGCGTTATTGTGTTGTGTGTGTGTGCTTCGTGAGTGATATTTGGCTACACGACAAACGTAAAGGGACTCTATCCTTTAGAACATCAAAACTTTATATATATAACCGATACATTGATTCACAGAAGGTAAAATTTCTAGCCACATCAAATATATAACCTATTGAAATTTTCAATCCAGAAGTAAGTGTGTAGTACGAATACAGTCAGATACTGGGTGTAAGATTATTTTTATTAACCACACCTTTATGTGATGGGTAGCAGACCCGGTGGATCCCACTGTCACGAAAACCTGCTGATCAGTGATGGCAACCGGTAACTTGGAGTTGCGAACCACATAAGGCCTCGCTAGGTGGTATAAAACCGGATAGTAGCAAAGCTGCCTATCACCAAAGTCAAGTGGCGGTGGCGGGGTACGAACTTTGAACAATACGGTCCAAAGCAGGTCGGTGACAACTATATGGGCTAAGAGGCGAACAGGTCAAAATCGCCACTAAGGGATGTCAGCTCTGGACACTAACATAACAGGTTTTCGGCAGCCACAAACCACCACATTCTTTCACTGTGTGTAAATACTAATTCCTGAGTAGTCCATTTCACGGCCCATCTGACGTCTCTGTTGGAGCTTGAATACAATCAAATCGATCTTAAAAGCTGGTCGCCTACATTCACTGAACAGTAACATTTCAACGTTTACTGAGAAAGCTTACCGCATGCAGCGCATCGGCCAAGCTGTTTGCCAAGTTCAAAAGCATTTGATTCGCTTCCGGATTGTCCACTGGTGGCCAACGTGTATCAAGTAGACTCTCAAAGTACTGATCTGCCATTGGCGGGCCAACGTAGTCACTCAAAAGTAGATG